GATAAGTGTTTGTAGGCCAGCAAATTTTCACATAAGATAAAAACATTTTACTTGGAGCTCAAGTCTTTCTATAAAACATTTAAATTTTCATCTAGAAGCAGTGTCACGTCTATCTAACCAACAGGAGTAGAGCATGTGCATTGCTATCGTTGTCCATGGGGAATTATTGCAGCTTTCTAGCAAGCAAGATGGAAAATCTTAAGTGCAAGAGTAATAGGAAATGAGGAGATGGTCTGTGTTAGAGCTCCACGCATCTTTTCACGTCTGGTTTCATCTCTGTTTCTTGATTCAATTTGARTCAACTCTCTTTTTCATTAGTATATTAGTATAGCAGGGGCCTCAGGGCAGTTAGAGATTTTGCTGAATTTGGTTTACACTGAGGGAAGGTATACGTTGTATTTCTGTTTTTAAAATGTCTTTTATATTATGATAAATGCTGGTTTTGTGTGGGTGTTAAAGGTGCACATGATTAATACTCTTGGTTTTAAGAGGTGGATTGTATGGGATAAAATGATAGAAATTTGACTCATTTCGTACTGGAAGAGGAGTAACTGGCTCTCTTGTTTTCAAAAGTTCTCCCTGGAAAACATAATGGATCAGGTGTGTTTAGAAGGCAGAATGAAGATAAGAGTAGATGTGAGCACAGAGCACTGGAGTTGTTGCATGATTCATCACTGCGAGGGATGCTGCTTGGCTTGGCTGAACTAGCTGTATTAGGTGCTGGGAAGGGATGTCTTGTTCCACTTGCCTCCCAGCCACCTCCGAAGGGGTAAGAGGGCAGTACTACTCATACTGATAGGACTTTAATTATTTATTATGAAGAGTAGTTTCTTATACTTGCAAATTATATCACAGATGAATCCTGTCCTCTTATAGGCATTTTTTTCCTYTTTCTTGACTGCTTCAGGGAAGGGATTTAATTTTAGTGGTCACCTACAATATCCATAGTGTCTGGTGGACCAGAAGTGAAACTGTAAAGGGTGACTGAGAAATGTTCAGTGTGCTATTTTAAAATACTTGATATCAAAATGTCTTCAAGTATCATCTGAATTGTCCAGCTCTTCTCTTGTCCAGAGAAGGAAAACGAGCAAAGCTGTTGCTTGTGGATTTAAATGATGTATTCAGTGTTCTGCCTCTCTGCTGGGAAGTTTTCAAGGAGATTTAAAACAAAGAAACTTGTAAACAGCTATCTCTGAAGATATATGCGGTTTATTTTCAGAGGTTTTTGTGAGCTCTTTGCCACAGTCTTCTCCTCACTCTCTCCTCTGTTTTAYGTTGGAAGGGTGTAAGGAGGAAAACCCTCGCTGCCGTGTTTTTGAAGGTATGAGCATGGCAGTCTTGACTCATCCCTTACCCTTGGGAGTCAGAAAATGGAGCCTACAGTAAAAGAGAACCAAGTGGCAAGCTGCTGATTTACAGCAGGAAGCTGACAGTAATTGCAGAGGCAAAAGCCAGAGTATTTAACAATTAAACTGTCCCTGGAGCAGCAGGAAGGAGGAGGAGGTTGCTGGGGATACCACTGGTTGCCTTTGCTGTGCGGTGGGGAGCTGGTTTAAATAGCAGAGCCTGAAGGGGAAGGGTGGGTGGGCAGGCATGACTCATAGCACTATKTTATAGTTATTAAATGTAGCTTTATAAATGCTCATCACTTCACAGAGGTGAAGTGTTTTTTAACCATCTTAGGTATTCCAAAAAATAAGAGCTATTCTTGAGATGCAAAGTTTGCAATATTCATAATCAGAGCAGGAAGCACGAGTGTCAACCTAAATTACAAAAATGAAACTAGTTAAAAAGATGAACAGTTTTTGAGTAAAATGCATGTAAAATAAAACTAAAAGTAGCAGTGACTGCCTCACTCTATTTCTYAATTAAGCTTTCATATAGAAAGTGCAGAGTCTATTTTGGATCCAAGAGCTGCACAATCTTTTTRTTTTTATGAAGCTCTATAGTGACTCTTAACACGCCTCTGCAGCAGATGAGTAGTTTGTCTGTTTTGTGTAAAACTGAGTATTAGATCTCAAATGAGAGAGTAGAGTTAGTGTTGCGTGCTACTTTACTCTTAAGTAAACTTTGTACTTGAAGTTACGGAGGAAGCATCAAAACCTTAAAGGAGGAACAGAGGTGAACTCAAGAGCAGATGCTGCTGTGAAACTAAAAATAGAAGTTAACATTGAAGAGGCTCGAAGCTGAGTGTTGTAAGTGGTGAAACTGGAGGCTTGCGTGGCTCTGCAGCTCCTCGTGCAGAATCATATGCTTGCAGTTAYCAACTGCACAGAGATGATCTGCGCTTTTTCATTTGTGCAGGAGACCAGTCTCCTGTTTGTGAGGTGGTCCCCAGAGGTTGAGGCACAGAAGTACGTGGTATACCTTCCATRGTATATGCTATACCTTCCAGGAAATGCAGTAATGACGAAGACCTGGAAGGCATGCAGCTTTTCCTTTCTAATAACTTAYCTTTTGGGTTTTGTTTATTTATTTATTTATTTCTTATCAGACTCTGCAAGTAGGCCAAGGGTTTCTTACATTGTTCTGTGATTTGAGTTTCTGCTGCAGGAAAATAAGTACCTGTGTAATTAAGTACTTTAGAACATGTTTCAAACTTGGAGATTTTTGTATTGCAATCTTCGAAATAATATTTTCATTAAGGTATATCTATGATAGCACCCATGTTCTGCAGAATGTTTTAAGACCAAATTCTAGTGAATTCTGGATTGACTTCCCAGGCAGATTTCCTACACAAACTGCGTGATGAGCACTGAAGTTCTGTAGTTTCAAGTAACCAAAATCTCTTAAGTAACAGGCTAATAATTGTCTGTGGCTTTTTTTGGTCTGTCTGGAGACGCCAGGAAGGGTGTTATTGTGGTGGTTTTGTCATGTGCGCTGAGTTGCTTTAGCAATTGGAAGAGAGTCAAAAATCAATCTTGATTCTTTAATAAAGGCAGATTTGTTAATGCAAGTTGAATAAAATTGGTAATAATTTATGATAGATTCTTGCTAACATATAGTATGATGAAAACTGAAGTGGTTGCATGATTTCACATCTGATTTTAATTTTATGGTATTTGCAGTCTTTAAAGAGCGTCACTAAATGGTCTTTAAGTCTATGAGGAGTTTTGAACTAATCTGGAGAAAAATCACTTAGTGTTAAAATTAACATCTAGCTCATTCTGCCTTTTCATCAAAGGAAAAAGGAACTGAAAATAATATTGAATCAGCTAAAATTAGTTGATAGTACTTATATTTATATGGATTTTGGTTTTGGTGAAAATTGATTTGACTAACAAGGGAAAGCTTCAGGTTTTCAGGATGGGGAAAAAAAGCTCTGGAGTGGCTTGACTTCAGTGGACTTATGCTCAAAATGGAGTGTTAGGTTTGTGGGGTTTATTTTAAGATAGGTGCTCTTATACACGGAAGTACTTTGTATTTATTATAGAAAAAGTGTTTACTGGTTTTACTCAGTAATTTTTAACTTTTAATGAGCTTTTATTTTGTTCAGAAACAAGTTTTCCTTGTTTTGCTTTCTTCACGTCTGCAGAGAACACAGTTTAAATTAAACCTGCTTAAACAGGAAACCAGCCACCAATATTTGCTTTCTCTAGACACTGGATTTTTCTAGACTTTACATACTCTTAATGTTAAACTGTAATTCTATCCAGGAAGTGCTGTATATTTTGTTGAGGGACCACATGGGGCAACTTAAGACAGTACTTGTGAAGACGATGTTTGTTTATTTTTTTCATTTAAATAAATTCAAAGTATGTGTGATGCCACGTTCTGCCAGTTTAGAGGTGTATTTSAGGGAACAAACTCTTAAGCTTGCTCCTAGCTACGTGTGTGCTTAGATGTTACTATAGTGTAAAGGGATGAACCAGAGTGCAAGTTACTCATTAATGTTAATAATAGTTGTGACGTTTTCTCAAGAATTGTCTAGTGTGTATTTTTACCTTTGGTTAGAACCATAACTCAGTTGCAGCTTCTCAGACTTATGATAGGAAATTTTGCTATTGCATGGTACAAGCTGGCAAATTGATTAAAGAGGGCTTAAAACTTTCATGCCTGATGTTAATGTTTTGGGGTATATACTGTTTCTGAGTTTTGTAAGAAAATGTAAAGAGGATGGAATTTCTCCGGTGAAAATTTGCAACATGTTTTTTATTACATCAAATATTGGTTTATTTGCATTTTAAAATTAATGTGGGATTCTGTTTTCAGCCAGAAAGTCTACTTTTAAGGTAAAATAACCTTTCCTTAAGATAAAAGGAAGCRAAAAATAACTATCAGTAAGATGGAACAGGAAAAGGTGAAGCTGGCAATGTGGGAGCCAGGTGTGGTCAGCATTGCAATCATCTTGAAGCAAACCAAAGGTTTAGTAGGACATATGAACACTAAAAATTTCAAATTTGTGTTTACAAGTGCATTCCAAGTCATTTACTGCACATACCGTTTCATCTTTATTATTTTATATATCAGGATGAAGAAAAGTTTTTTTTTTTACCTTTTTTTACCATTGTTAGCCTTGAAGTTCATTTTGTAGCAGAATTCATATGAACATTGCTATTAAAAGTCTTTCTGTTGAATTTGCCTAAGCAAAATTTTAAAAAATCTTGCCAGTGTTGCTGACAAAGATCCTCTCATGAAAGCCAATGTTCAAAGAAAGAAATGCAAGGCTAGCACTTAGATTTTGTGTGAGTTGTGAAAGAGGATCTTTGGTTATTCCCTGTTGATTTTGTTAAAAATAAGTCTTAGGTTTCTATTAATATTTAATGCTTTTATAATTGAATTTAGCGTATTGGATATCCTAAATAGGTTTCAAATAAATAGTTCCAAAGTATCTAAAAACTTAGTTGGGATGTGGGAAACATTGAGCTTTATTTGCTCTTCTGTAGTAGCTGCCTTAAGCTGCTAGCTGAAACTACTCAAAATGCAGCATATAGGTATGGAACAGTCTTAAAATCAGTAGGAAGAAATTTTGGTGAACTTTGATTCTTCTTATTTTGCAGTGTAATGTTCAGAGTCAGAAATGCCTTATGTGGATCGTCAGAATCGCATTTGTGGTTTCCTAGATATCGAAGAAAATGAGAATAGTGGGAAGTTTCTGCGGCGATACTTCATTCTGGACACACGGGAGGACAGTCTGGTGTGGTACATGGATAACCCACAGGTGAGCTGCTTCTGGCAAGAGTTAGTTGACTTCTAACGACTTCACTTTTTTGGAGGGGGTAAATTGTTAAATTCCTGGGAACTGCTTTTAAATTTTTTTGATCAAGGAACTATATGGTAATGTTGTAGTCACATGAGTGAAATAATTGAAAATCATTCTCCTGTACTAATATGTGCGGTCAGAGAAAATATAATTTGTATTTCTACTTAATGCTTTTCCAGGTGCAGTTAGTAGTAAAACATTTTAAAACAAGTCTCTGGCATCAATAAATTGCCAGTATATGAACACAAATATTGACATAAAAGAATTGAGGGTCATATTAAAGAGTTTAAATGCAATACTACATGTAAATTGGTCATTAGTTTTGAAGCCTAATGCRCTTTATTTTGTTTTCCATTTAGTACTTTGAACCTCTGTTGTGTTCTTGGAAATGCTAGGTAGTGCCATATCGTATATAACTGTGTGTGAGCCTGAATCACATGCTGGTTTCACTACACAGATCTGTTCATTCAAMGTTAACCTTATGTGGAAGTATAAAGTTTCCTTTAAGTTGCTTGGGTCAGTGGATTGTTTCGTGTTACTTTACCTCCACAGAATCAGTCATTGAAAGGTAATTCTAATGATTCAGGTTCATGCAGTTTTAATGCAGCTTGGATGGTATGTGAATGAGGAAAGCTTATAGCCGTCATGCTGGAGAGCGACATTATTTCAATTATTTTTTACAATATACACAATATCAGTCTGTTTTATAGTCTAGAACAAATAATTGCTAAGGGGTGGATGCTGAGGCATATTGAAAGCATAGGATTCAGATCATTACTACCCGTCAGGAAAATACTTATATTTATCCTTATGCCTGTAAAACTAGATCTAAAATGCAGTAGAAGTCTGCCTTCAAATGAAGAAATAAAGATTAAAAACGGTGTGTAGTTCAATGAGGGTGACTTAGGACTAAAGCATTCAGAAGTTCCTGCTGAGAAGAAAGCTTGAAATATGAGGTATTTAGGAAAAAAAGGTGATGCTGTAACTTGAGTGGCTACTTTGAAAGGAAAAGTAATGGAAAAAAAGAAGTGCATGGAAAACAATGCCCATTTAAAGGAAGAATATTATGAAGCCTATTTCACCTGAAGCAGTTTGTATAAAGGTGACCATTCCTTATGGTGCTGTATAATGCACCATTACTGAACTGTTGTATTTCCAGGTGATTGTKAGCAGTAATACAGTGTTAGCAGACTTGTGTGCTACACGTGTGTGTAAAAACAACAAACAGCTCCTGTTTGCATTGTAAGGATATTTAAACTTAACTGTGACTTTAGGATCTATCCTGGTCTTTCCCTGCAAGAACTTTGCTGTTAAAAAAATCCTACTTTAAATTTATATGTTCTGGAAAGCAAGCGAGACAGCCTTAGGAGTGTCTGACCAATGGATGAATGTCGCTTGTCCTTTTTGCCTGCCCTGGCAAAATACCTAAGAAGCCAACATCTGTTAAGGAARAAGTATTCTTTCCATATTTCCTGACTGCAGGCCTGCAAGAGTCAGTCTTCCTCTAGCAAAATACAATTACTGTTAGAATTGTTTCTAACAGTCATTTGGGTTTTAATTGCTTAACAGATGTGTGTCTAATAAACAAGCAGTTTAGGTCCTGTTAACAAGCATGGATTGTGTATTGTCTATAAGAACATGTAGGATTTTCTTTGTGTTTGTGGAGCTGACTACTTTGGTTTTGACACATGTAGATTGTTTTTGAGGATAACCTAGTTTCACTTTGTAATATTATCATTTGTTTTAGAATCTTCCCTCTGGATCTCCACCGGTTGGAGTCATTAAACTTACTTATATTTCAAAGGTAAGCTACTCTATAAAGCTCTTGTTGCTAAAATTTGGTAATAATGACCAAAGGCTACTTAAGAAGACTGCAATTAAAGGTGACAATTTGCAGAGCCTCTTAAATAATATATGGGAAGTTTATTGCCTCTCTGCTATTTCTTATTTTGGAAGTACATTAAAAACATTGAGGTAGTACCAATTTAAAATATAAACAGGCTGTTTATAAGATTGTCTGGGTTTTTCTTGAGTTGAAATGACAGCTCTTTTAGCTTGCATGTGATAGAACTAATATTTCTGAACTGTATGTTTCACTTTTCAATWTATTTTAAACTACTGGTATCTGATATTCCAGGTAGTCTTAGAGAAAGGCCRCTTAGTGGAGACTGCATCACTGGGTAGACTAGTTTGCAGATAATAATAACCTTAGAATTGAAGAATTCAGTAATCCTTATGGTTAAATTGGTAGCAGATATTGCAAGAACAAATAAAGAGAGAACCAACTGACCTGTTGTGTTTCTGCTCTTTCTCATCCTTAATTTTGTGCTTTTATTTACCATCCTGCATATTCCACCTTCCATTTTATCTATCTAGCCATGTGTCTCTTTTTTTTTTCTCCTTGTAAGAGGTATCAGTGATACTGACTATATCATGAGACTACAGAGATACCTATGAGGACCAGCTTATGCTTCCTGTTTTCTCCCTCCTGCTTGCTTAATTTGCCACAAGTCTTAGAAATCTGAAGTGTTATCTCACTTCTAATGGGAGCAGGGTTGGCCATGTCTTCATGTGCAGCAGGGTGTCTGTGGGTGCCTGAGCAGGCAGCTTGCATGTACGTCCTGTACTGTGGCTTCATCAGAGAGCCACAGGGTGAATAAACTGTGCTTTGTTCGCCATTTTCCCCTGAAAATGARGCAAAACTGTAGGACTGCTGTATTGGACAATATATTCATGTCCAGCTCTCTCCCCTGTAAAGCAGGAGAATTCATGAGTCAAGTCTTTCTGCAAGTTGTTACTTGTCTAACTTGCCATAGTTGAACTGTTACTACTGGTAACATAAATACGTCTTTTGTTTCTGCCCCCAGAAAAGCTGTGAGGTGAGAGACTGATTTCCTGTCTCCCCCTGCCTTGGTACAGGTGCTTTACAGTGAAGAGAGAGCAATGCCTGTCACTGAGCAGGACCCAGCTCCTTATTCCCCAGATTAGAAACCTTTCAGAAAAGGTGTGGTGTGCTTCAGAAAGTGCTTGTTGTTATTCTTATGCAAAAAAGAAAAAAAAAAGACATTGGAGGTCTGGAAGTAAAAAATGTCCTTGAATTTTTAATTCCATTGGGACTTCAGTCTTCAAAGTTCAAGTTGGACTAAGTTGTCTGATGCCAGCATTCCGCCTGTGGTTAGAGCTGGARTGAAGTTAACCCATAATGAATCTCTGCATTTAAGGAAAAGAGGCAGATGGCTTAGGTTGTTATCTTATTGTAAACTGAATCTTGAAGTGAATTTTTAATTTTGTTTCCTTCATTTCATTTCATTTTTTTGTACATGTACCAGTCACAGTTTAATATGCTGCTAATCTTCAAATTCAACCCACTTGAAAGAAAATTATGATGTGTGATGTGTATCTTCTCTACAGGGCATTATTTACAAGTCTTACTTTTTTTTTTTTTTTTTCCTGTTAGGTTAGCGATGCAACTAAGCTAAGACCAAAGGCAGAATTCTGTTTTGGTAAGTTCTTGTATGCAGCATGCATGTGACGTTAGTCTTTGAGAAATTTGAAACACAGATATATTTTTCAATTCTCTAACTACATACGGCTGATAGTGTTTTTATTTTTAATAGCTTTTATTCTGTTTTCTGCCTAATAAAAGAGAAATGTTAGCTTCTTATCAGGTGTTGTTTTCATACTGTGGTTCTCAATAGATGAGAGCCTTTTTTAGATTTGGTATTTCTGAGTACTAATTAAAAGTGATCAATGTTGTCAGAGACCTGGCATGTCTGAGCTATGCAGACAAGTAATTAGTAATCTCTGTTGCTGATAAAGGAGTTGAGTACTTGATTTGAAAATAGTCATACATGTCAGTGATCTCTTAAAATTTTAGTGCTAATGCTGCGATGGAGTCAAATACATTGTTTTGGGTAGTTTCCAGTCATTGGTATTTAAACATGTAATAATAATATGCTTTGATTGCAGCCTGTCAAGGTGTGTCTGTCTTAAGAATTTCCAAAAAAAATGCAGCGTGGAGGTTAACACTTGCACTGAATTTCCTAGCTATTTGAAGTCAGCTCTCCTTACCGTGATGTTAAGCTTGTTAAATTTCAGAGTTGCTAACTTCTCATAATTTTTTTTAACAGTTATGAATGCAGGGATGAGAAAATATTTTCTACAAGCCAATGATCAGCAAGACCTAGTGGAATGGGTAAATGTTCTGAATAAAGCTACCAAAATCACAGTAAGTAGTTTAGACTGTCTTTAGCAATGCTTTCAAAGTATCTCTAAAATAGAAGCAACAGATCGTGCCATGTACCAAAAGCCTTCCCTTTATTTTAAAGTAACATCCAGACAAAGAAGCATTAAACTAATGAATATAATTCTCTGTGTCAAAGTACTTGGTTTTGTCCCAGAACAGGTTGCTATCAGGTGATAGAAAACACTCCCCTGTTACCTCAGCCTTTTTATGAGGCAGAAGCCCTGGCTTTGTTTTGCAGGCCATTTCAGGGAAGTGATGACATGAACCGTTCTGAAAGGATGTTCTTGCAAAGGCTGGGGGATGACTGAGCACAGTGCATATAGTCCTAGTGATTGTCACTTTTTACCCTCACTTCTAGGTTACCAAGGAAGTGATGTTTCCATCGTTTTTACCTTGTTTTCCTGTTGACCTTTCTTTGGAGTTAGAAAAGCTTTAACTATTAATAATAACAAAAACACTTCATGCATTTTTGACAACACACAGCCAGGCGTCTGCTGTTACTTAATTGTTTTCAGTTCAAGTGATAGAGTGAATAAAAAAAGTAATTGCATTAAATTGGAGTTTAGTTTAAAGGCTGGTTGTGATATGTTAAATTTGCGTTGTAAATAGCTGATGAAATAATTAGCATCTCTTGTCTTTGGAAGAACAGGTCTTTGAACTGTTAATCTGGTCTGAGGTTAAGTATGGATAGTGATTTAATCAACTAATTAAGATTATAACTTCCATGTGAACATTACTTAGAGTATTTTTTAACTCCTTAGGTTTTATTGTATTTCTAATACCGACTGCTGATTATTTCCACCAAACTATGACCCTGTGYGGTTTAGCACATGGTGTGCCTATTTTTAGGTAGTTTTTAAAAATCTCTTTGTAAGAGAAAGATGGTTGTGAGTTTGGCGTGTACTATTTTAACAGCTTATGATGACTTAAGCACTTGTACAGGATGTTGTAGATACAAAACCCTTCCCTTGAATGGATCCCTGCCTGCTAAGGGAAGTCCAATCCTCAAGTCCCAGACTTGGCACTGGCCACTGACTTTATGGCCRTGTTATTGCTAGTTCTTATACAGCCAGTGGGAATTCCCACTCTAAAGCACTTTATTGCTGGGGTAAATAAAACTGAAAGGAAGTGAGAAATTACCAGTTCTTCTACAAATTAGAAATGCTTCTTAAAGGTCAGGTATAGTGCTTATGAAAGAACTGGGAACTGATCTGAGATTTCAGGTTGTCTGGCAAAATGCTTCCATCAGAACCAGTTTTGTTCAGAAAACTAGAACAGTAGTGTTGCAAATTTTCAACACTAGGTAAACTATTTTAACATTTTACAAATAAAAAMCACTTGTTAAATTCCCCAAAGAAAAAATAAACGATAATTGAACAGTGATTTTCGTATGTGTTTTTCTTGTTTTGTTTGTTTTAATAAAACTTTTGTTATCATATCTGACTTGCAGGTACCAAAGCAGCCCGATCCTCTGTGTCAAATGGATAATGCTAATCGTCAAGTTGAAAGTCCAGGTGCAAAGAAGCAAGTGTCTTACAGGACAGAAATAGTTGGTGGTGTCCCTATCATTACGCCCACACAGGTAATACCCTCATAGCAATTGGGTATTTTTTTGATTTAAAAGTTTTATTGTGTGACAGGTCAGTGTAAGTTGCATATCATAATTTAGCTGTCAGCTTCTCACATTTCAATAATGAGGAATAACAGAGTGGGCTAGTAGCGTTCAGTGCAAATAAGAAGKAAATAAAGGAGGATGTAGTAGAGGTTTATAAAATCATGATTGTCACAAGGAGAAGTGGATGGGATAAAATAATAAACTTTCTCTTCCTGTACTAGAACTATGGACTGTTAAAGCTAGTGTCATGAACACTTCTACCAATATTTTGCCATTAAACTCTGTTTCCAGCTTGAAGTAGAAAATCACACACAAGTATTTTGCTTCTAGGCCTGTAAAATTCTTCATTTTGTGTATCTGTTTGTTAGCATTAATCTARTATATTCAGTGGGTTATTTTTAACATAATTTTTGAATGGAACTTGCGTATGCACAGCCAGAACCCTTTTAGAGAAGCTAACTAGTTGGCCCTTAAAAAAATCAAGTGAAATACTTTATCCTTTTATAAACATTAGAAATGAGATTTGTGGGCATGAGATAATGAATTCATTTCCTGAACAGCAATGTAGTTGTTCTTTTACCTTTAGAAAAACATGAGAATTTTCKGAACTCTCCTTCTTTTATCCAGAAAGAAGAAGTCAATGAGTGCACTGAAGGGGGTGATAGAAATTATTTGAAACGGTCACAAAGTCACCTTCCTTATTTTACTGCCAAACATCCCCCAGATAATGCTATTATCAAAGCTGGCTACTGTGTCAAACAAGGAGCAGTGGTAAGTATTTGAGATCAGCGGGTTCCATTCATCACCAACAAAGGGCCTAAAATGGAATTTGTACTGACAAAGACTTTTTTGAAGCAGTTAGCAATGACTTAACACTACTGACAATGTTAAGGGTGACTAAAGATAAAACTAAAAACTGTRAGTCGTGAAGTTCAGTAATACAGACATTGCTACATACCACTGTAAGATAAGCTTTATGATGCTGAAGGTCTTTGGAGAAGTTGAGTTGTCTGCACACAGATTTTTACACTATGGTTATTGAGTGTCGCTAAGGAGGCTACTCTTCTACAGTTATGTAGAAATCATTATTATAATCCATCTAAATTGAAACAGTTCAGTGTCAGCACGCTTTTAAAATCTCTGAAACATTTAGGAAAAGCTATTTTGGGGGCAAATAAGAGGAGGAGTTGTGTAACATGTGAGATCATCTAACACAAGTAGAACCACTCACAGCCTGCCTTACTACATACGCTACAAGGAGGAGCAGACAGTTCAGATTAAGCAAGATGTGCATGCTCTGAATTCTCAGTTCCATTTAATCCGAGATTATGAAATTTATAATGTTCCCTGTCTTTAAAAACAAAATCCATACGCGTTTAATGTGGTGTCTGTTGACATTTCTTAAAGGATACTTGTGTTCRGTCAGTTGCTACGGGTTCAGTAAAAATTGATAGAAAACGTGATAAAATCGAAAATAGTAGCATCCAGAAGTTAAAATTCTGGCTTTTTTTTTTTAAAGTCATGATTTATCTGTTCATCTAAAATCTTTTCTCCCTCYCTCCCTTTAACAGATGAAGAACTGGAAGAGAAGATACTTCCAGTTAGATGAAAACACAATAGGCTATTTCAAATCTGAACTGGTATGTTTCCAAATATGTGTTGCTTTCAAAAGATGCTTGGAAGTAAATGTAAAGAAATAGACTTGTCTATTAAAGCTGCTCTCTGCTGCTCGTGAAACTGTTAATTGTGAATTGTAATAATTTTTCATGATAAGGAAGAACAAAAAGTTAATAGGATGGCTCATAGCTTCCTAATTTCCATCTAGGAATCAATGAATAGTGCGCTGAAGAGGAGTAACAGAAGATATTTTATAATCATTCTAATTTTTTTGTATTAGTATCTTGGCTAGTACACACACAGTCATGTTCTAGGAAGAAAGGATTATTATGTGGAGAGATATAACTGTAATCTGAATGTCTTTGCAATTCTTAATGCTAGGAGAGACTGTAGTGTAGTTTATTTTAATTATTTTCCTATGGGCTCTTTGCCCACACTTCTTTAACAAGGACCAACAAGGCAGATGAAGAGCTGAGACTTKTACAGCTCGTTTCAGTGTTCCAGCTTTTCTTGCCCGCTCGTCACTCTTGAACGTGTTGACCAATTTTGAGTAAATATTAAGGGATTTTTAAGCCTAATTTAAAAACAAGTGGTTGGTACTGGAGGCAGCCCATCTTCCCCAAGAAGGGATCCAATATCCACTAAACAAGAAAATTGTGTATTTACAGAAGTAAGAATGTACGTTTATGTGAAGAAAGCTGAGTTAATGGTACTGACAGTAGGGAAGTAGACTTTGCTTTCACAAATTTGTCTGAAATCATTCTTTTCTCTATGTGTGTGTTTGAGATGTRTAACTCTACTGTTCAAGGAAATAAGTACTGAAGAGATAAGGTATTGGTTAACTTGAGAATTCTATGCTTAGCAAATACACATGAAATTCTGTGATTTTAATTAATTTTTACAAACAATTAGGATCTGCTACGTCCCAAATATATCTTGGAGAAACATTTAATCTYTCCTAGAAAGAGCACAGATTTCACAATGTGTGGCGCACCAAGAAGAAGAAGAAAGCATCAGGCAAAAACTTAAGTGAGAGTGTGGTGGACAGATGTGATGTGTGGGGTCTCACACTCAGTTCCTAATAATAATATGAAAGTAGGATCAAATTCCAATAACAATTTTTTCTTAAGCCTTTCTGGCCTTATTCACCTAGTATAGGATCAGAATTTTTTCTGAACTTGGAAGGTTTCTTTCCATTCGAGTTCAATTCCCAAGAGCTAAGAACTTCAGTCCAGTAGGGACTTGACTTAGAGTCAGTTTGCTCTCATGAGAGCCAACCTGGTCACTGGTAACCGGGACTTTCCCAGAACACTGGGGTTTGTTACCCTCCCCTGTCCTGGATATCTCTATTCCAAGAGATGATCCAGTTCATGTGGTGACTGTTACTGTGAAAAATCTGTCATAACAACCTGGGGACTGAAGAGAAGGGGAATAATAGCTGAAAATGTTGAGCTTTAAAATCTGCRCCTTCAGTCAACTGGAGAGACAAATCACCAAAGGAAAACTGGCATAATTGGGAATTTGTGTTCGGTGACATAACTGTTTGCTCTAGTAGCAACATTTCTTAGGTATTATTACAATTTTAAATTTAGGAAAAATAGTTTTTCCAGGGATGACAGACTTGCTTTTGCCTACAACCTGGAGTAAGCTGAATTAATCCATAATAACATTGCTTAAAGAAAATATATTTGGAGATAAATGAAGATTTTTTTTCATGCAAAGCTACATGAAAATGSTAGTGCAAAGACTTCTGTAGTGATAGTTAAAATTAAATCTTTTGTCATGGCAAAAATAAAAACACTTCTGCTTGAAATTCTCTCCTCAGTGTAAGCCTGAGACAGAATTACAGTGTAACAGAATTATARCAACATTATGTGAATTTGACAGACCTATAACATTTAATCTCACTTTTGTAACTGTAACAGAATATTCAGATGCTTTAAGAATACTGGCTCTGTTACAGATTTTGATTCAATTGCATGTGGGTGTGGGTTTTTTTCATGTACTGAATATAGGATACAATAAATCTTCTTGTTTCAAGTGGTGTCAGGCAGTACAATTAACAAAGCATCTCGTATTGTAGCATTTCACTGTAAATGAACGTAATGACCCTTCTATTGAAGTTGCACGGGGATGATTCAGATTTCAGATATAGTTAGAGGAAGAGGTCAGGGATCGTCTCCATTAGGAAGAAAAATTTGCACAAGAAAAGCATGTCTTGGTTGATACAACGTTCTGTATAAGTGACTGCCTTGAAATTCTTTATAAATGAAGTGCTGCTGCTGTCATTGGTCCCGACCTTTGACTTTGACCGTGTTCAGCTTGTTAGATATACTCTGCTGATGTAATTTTACCTCTTTTTTTCTTTTTTCTTTCCCTCCCCCAGGAGAAGGAGCCTCTCAGGGTTATACCACTCAAAGAGGTCCATAAAGTTCAGGAATGTAAACAAAGGTGAGGAGGGAGAAACGTTGCAGCAATTACATGGGAGTGTCGTGTGCGCTGCTCTGTCATGGCTAGACTGCTCTTGGGWAACCCTGGAAAGGTTTTCAGTAACTCGGTTGCCTTACACGTATTATTTACAGGGCAGCAGGTGATCTGGTGCACTAACTGGTTTGAGTGTTCTGCATTGCTGTGGCTTCTAAACCTGTAACATGTAGAATGTAAATACGAGATGAGGGGTGGAACAAAGACATGACACGTGATTCTGAAGTGCAAGGAAGCCCAGGCACTGCTTGATTTAGGGCAGCAATTTTAGGAGTCTGTGTATTTCTAATATCCTCTAAGCCTTTAAATGATKTTGCCTTCCTCAAGCACGTCTGTTAGAAGTCTTAAGATGAGGACACTCTGTTTGCCTTTCTAAATGGCAATGTACTGAGTGACTTTTGTAACGTAAAAACCCTTCACAGATCATAGAATCATAGAATGCTTAAAGTTGGAAGGGACCTCAGAGGTCATCTAGTCCAACCCCCCTGCTCACGCAGGRTCACCTAGAGCACATGGCAAGAAGATTTGGTCGTTATTAGTTCCGTTGTTACAAAAACCAAGCTGTTCTCTCCGTATTATGTTAAGATTTAGCTTTTGAGGATGCTTCATGTGTATAATAACTATTTTCCRTGACCTTCCTGCTGACAAGAGCTCAGATTTCACTAGGCATATCAAATGGTCTCTTGTATGCAATTGTGTGCTTTTTGAGAAACTTCACCAGCAGAGTGCCCTCTGAGAAATAAATGTGTACTGAGATGCTACATATACATTAATTAGTGCAGTTATAAGTTGTGTATCTTCATCCCTGTTTCACTGAGTACGAATTTGAAGGGAAAGATGCAGCCTGGCAGGGAGTTCCATGCTCAGGCTCAGAGATGAGGCACACAGGGATTTTAACAGCTACTGCTATTCAAAAACATATTTGTGGGCTTTAATAGTGACTCTAATATCATATCCACCATGAAGACAACTCATGTCTTTATTATTTTTTTCAGACCTTTCAGTTCTAAATTTGTCAGGAATTCTAAAACTGTGGTTATGGATACTGTGCTGCTTTAGCATGTAATCACACTATTATTTAGGATTAAACTTTTGAAAGACGTAGCATAAATAAAAACATAAATGTGAATTTTTACAGAAGTTTGACTAGAGCGATATAAAAATAGGTTCTTAGACTTAACATAACTTGGTTTATAATATTTCAATTAAAATTGTATGGAGAATAGCATGGTGTTGGTTTTGAACAAAAGAATGTTAAGGCTAGGCAGGGGAAAATGTTCCAGTTTTGTTTTTCCACTTGATATTTATAAAAGAAGAGCAAACAGAAATCTGAAGGATGATAGAGGATGCAAAGGTGACAAATGCTCTGGTTCAGCACTTTCTTGTAATGTTGTTTTAAATACTGTGGGAAATTTGCACTTGCCACTTAAGTATATTTAACTGCAAGTATACATTGTGGTTTTTTTTTTTCTTTTTACAGTGATATAATGATGAGAGACAATCTCTTTGAAATTGTAACAACTTCTCGAACCTTTTATGTACAGGTAATCCTTTCCTTTTTAAACTTTGGGCAAAACCAAGTGATTATCATATCTGAAGCAGCACAACCATTTTGCTGTTAAACCTGCATTTAAATATATAGTGTTTTTGAAGGGAATGTAACTTCATTATATTTCAGAAAAAGATGATACATGTAAGAAACTTTTCAYATAACAGCAAAGAGCTATGTTGGTAGCAATGAATGTAATAAATTCTGATGCTTACTTCTCATTGGCATTCGTTTATTCAGATTTTTTTGTATCAATGCCATATATGAATATTTGAGTATTAAATTTTTATTTATAGGTAATTCTCAGATTCAAACTACCAATTGTTTTGTTAAAATATCTGCTAAAAATACTCTAGATTTCAGTGTGTTGGTGATAGGTATCTGTCCACACCTTTATTCAGTGCATCGTTCCAGTTATTTTCTAAATGTTAGAGTGTTGATCATAAAAAGAGTTGCTCTAGGTGTGTAGGCATGTGCTACTCGCAGCATCATCTCTCATATTTCTTAAGGAAGAAAGAATTTAAGGGAGCAAGAGCAGATGCTGAGAAATGAGTTATYCTATAGCAGCCCTCCTACCACTGACTGTTATGAAGCTTTTTGTCTTCATTATAGATATTCACAGATATTTACTCCCTTGGTGTTCTGTTTATCCCTTGTTAAGCTACTGGATCTTTGTTATTGCTTAAAGTAAATGTGCAGCCAGCTCCCTGAGACAGACTTGATTTTACTCCAACTCTTCAGTAATTATCTCATGGAAGCAAAGATCAACACTGGGTTTCAAAAACTACAGAAACTGACATCACTGGCCAAAATTTGCTAAGAGATATCAGCAAACTTTCTGTCAGAATAAATGTATTTTGGGTTTTATGGAGTACAAAAATGTTATTTTATAGAAGTATGTACATACAAAGCAATACAAAATTCAAGGAAAGCTCTTAAGAAATGTCTGCATTAAAAATACAAGTCCTCATAGTTTTAAATTTAAATTTAAAGAGATACAGTAACATAGGATAAGGCTTTGTTCGTGATTTTATACAGATGACAAGGATACTGTTTTTTTCTTTGTTTTTAAAATCCAAAGTTATGAAATACTTGTAACTGATGCTGTTTGACGCAGGCGGACAGTCCCGAAGACATGCACAGCTGGATCAAGGCAATCTCCGGGGCCATCGTAGCACAGCGGGGACCTGGGAGATCAGCAGCTTCTGTATGTTATCCCGAGCCTTAGGAAATGCCATGGGGGACGTTTATTTATGCACCTGAATCTAGTGGGTTTTGTGTTCACCTGTCCTCAGTCCTTCCTGTAGTACCTGTCATCTTTGCATGGACTTTCATATGGATTGGATGGGCATAGAGTATTTTTTTTGAAATGATTACTTAATCTTATCTGTATGTACGCTGTATTTTTTTTAACCATGTAGATAATGCAAATGCTAACTGAGAAAACCCTCCTAATTCGATGTTTTTGTCATTAAGCTGCTACTAATTTAGAAGTAAAATTGAACCTAATTCTTGCAAGGCGTTTTTGCCAGTTGCTGAATTTTATAATGAAATGACACTCCCTTGACTATTTTTAAGAGCCCTTGCCACTAAATTGCCATTCTGTATTGTTGATGATTTGTGATACATGCAGATACAGATTCAAATTTCAAATAGATTATTTCTGAAGGAATTACCTGCTCGCATGAATTAGTTCTTGCTGTTGGAAACTTGGTGTGAGCACCATCTAGCATTACTGAACTGAAGTGCTGTGACTGTGGCAGAACTTAGTATTTGTGAAGCATGTAGATACCAGCATTTCGTGTATATAGTTGCATTAAAACAGTATTAGGCATTTATTGCCCTTCACAAATTACTGTATTTTGTGCGAAAAGTTACTTAGTGTCACAGCCTCCAAGYGTCTGGATTTCACAAAAGGAAGACTTTTCAGTTCAGATGCTGCAAAGCCTGGTTTTCACTTCCTGGCTAATGGGAGGTCTGAACATATCACTACCCCCATAATCTGAAACCTAATAACCTGAATTTGGCATTTTAATACAGACATACATTGATACTGCATTTCTGTTAATTTGGTCTTAATTCACAATTCTGTTTTGCACCTGAAAGCTGCCCCATACGTTTAAATAAACCTTCCTATCCTAAATTTTGTTTTGGGGTTAAGAAAATATACAGAAAATTTTCTTTCTGTTGTTTTTTTTTTTTGGGGTGGGGCTACCTGAGCAATCTGGCTCTTACTGTCTGCATCACTTCTGTCTTTCTCCCTCTCTTCTTTCCCCAAGTATAGGTTACTCTAATCTTAGCTTTGCACTGTGTTCCAGATGCGGCAGGCCAGAAGGCTGTCGAATCCTTGTATACAGAGGTATACATCAAGAACTGGTGAATGCAGCACGTATGTGGGCTCTCATGTAATCTTGCCCTCGTAACAGAGGGCTGGGACTAGAAACTAATTTGCGCTCGAAAAACCTAAACGTCGCTACCTGTTGCCATTACCATTATTGGAAACTAACTCATAAATTACATCACCTATTCACAGGCTTGCACTGTTGGTTCTTTCTTTAAAAGTAATTGGAATTTAAAAATGGCAAAAACATGCATTTGTGCTTGTTTATCACATTTAAATATTGATTACACTTTATAGTAACATCATTTAAAAGGAAAATTATTGAAACCTTAATTTGCATGAGAGTTCATATTTCCATTTACTTTACATTTTTTTGAAACTGTGCAAAAGCAAAATTATGCTACCCACAAACTAATACAGATGCGTGCACACAGAACAAGCGCACGCTGAAACTCCAGTAATTGGAAGGATAATGTAGCCTGATTTGCATGGCTTAAGTCTCTGCATGAAATTATTAGTCCAAATGTAGAAGCATTGTGATATGATCAGTACAGTGTTCAAAGCAGTGCTATTGCTTCAGAGTAATAAAGCAGCATAGTGTCTTAGCTGTGAACTTAGTGTGGGTACTAAAATATGAGTATTTGATTGGATTTAGCAAAAGTTTAGTCTAGAAAGCTTGCCCAAACTCCCCTTTTATCCTATTTGTTCAAATAAAATTATTAAGCAAAATTAGAAGAGTAGGCAAATCACTATATTATATAAGCTCTTAAAGCAAACTTTTTTTTCTTGGAAGTSGAGTATCAAGCCAGGAATGAGATACAGAACTGTAAGTCGTATAAAATAGTTTATGGAATTTTAACCTCATAGCAAAATTGAAGCCCAAATAAAGATGTTCAACTATGTCACCCAATAACATTAGCTCAAAAAAGAAAGTGTAAAATTAATTGGCAGAATCCATTATGATTAACATTATAAATTGTGGCCATAGCATGCCAAAAGAGACCTGGGCAACTGCCATGGGAAAAGATACTTCATGCACGATGTGYATTTGCATCTTGGACACGTGAGTGATGGTAGTTCTGCTAGTACAGCTGTGTGAAAGCTGCCTTGCTTTGTGTCCACACATGGTTTCCCCAGTTCCCTTGGCTCCTGCACTGGCSCTGGTGATGGCAAGAGTGGCAGCAGCTGCAGCTCCTAACGTGCCGGGACTGTGCAGGGTATCGTGGCATTTGGATCAGGTCACTTAACATAAGGCTCCTCTGCTGTTTTGCACGTCCCTAGGTATTTGAGACATCCTCACAGACCTGATGGGTGTAAGGCAGTGTCTGAGAGACCTTTTTGGTTCTGAGGATAAAGCTGTAGGCCAAGGAGGGTGTCCTAGGGCATCCAAAACACTAGTCTGTGCCTGTGATTTAAACGCCAGATTCCCTCTGACGTAGTCTGATAACTTGCTTTTGTCAATAAGTAAATGATGGAAGATGATTTCCACAGTTYTGAGATAACAAAAAATGAGTAAAGRTGAAAATGAGTAGTTGCCAACAATAAAACTTCATCAGAAATTAACTTGACGATTGGATGGATAGTTTTAAATCCGAAAGATCAGTTTCTTTAGAGTGCCCATTAATATTTGAAACTGTCTTATAGTCTTGATAGCACAAAATAGTTGCTGTGTCTGCTCGGTCTCTAGAATAAATAGAAGCAAGTAGTTTTGCAGGAAGAGGCAAAAGTAAAATACATTACACAAGCATTTAAGAAGTCAGTGCTTATTGTATGCAAATACGTTTGAATACCCTTTTTCTCTTAAAGATGTCACTTTCAATAGACTTTAAAGAGCCTATCTTCAAAAGGTTACTTAACACACTAGTAAAATCAAGATTCAGTCTGGGCTGTATTTGAAAGTCTAAAGAGCTGCTGAGCTTGATTTGAGAAACTTAATTTCTTCAAATGAAAAATTCTTCCTGTCGCATACTGCTGTGAGCTGGCTCCTAATAACACACTGCCTTGGGAAAGCACCTGCCTCCTGCTGCTGCTGTGGCTGACACTTCTGGCACTTCGCTTTGTGCATTTTCTGTCTTTGAATTTTATTTCTCTCAGCAAAATCTCAACCTGCATCTGTCTCGGGTRGTGCTGACGGTCTAAAGTGACGCACGCTCCTCTTTTCCAGGAGCATTCCGAGCCTTCTGCAGAATCCAACAGCCATGCTGTCCGTCCTGCCGCCCCCGCAGCCGCCGCACGTCCCGCAGCCTCTCACAGCAGCCCTGTGGTCCCACACGCTGACCCCAGACACCCTGCCCTGGAGAAGCGAGGATTTCACGAGTCTTTTACCAAGGCCAAGCCAGGGAACTACAAGATCCAGGTTGTCGCTGCAGGAGACCCAGCTTCCAAAGTGACTGACCGGGGCTCGTGGGAACCCCGAAGTAAAAATGGCACTCAGGAACAGGATGCTGGCCTCGTGGATCTGGATGATGCAAGCCTTCCCGTTAGCGATGTGTAGTCCTGGCGAGCGCAACGGAAGCGTTTGGAGCACGATCCATTTGTTCGGTCCTCTAATTTCCTTGCTTGGACGTTGAACCAAAGAAAATTATAGGAAAAAAAAAAAAAAAAACAAAGAAAATGGAACACTGATTTTTATATATATGTATGTGTGAGTGTGTGTAGGTACACACGTGTATGTATATATATGTGTGTGTGTATAATGTTTGTATATTGCCTTTCATCTGAGGGTCAGAAATGGACCTTACACTTTTTCTCAAAGGTTGATGGTAAATCACTTGCTAGGAGGGGCCAAACTGCACGATTTACAAGGAAAAAGGCAAAGAAAGAAAGAAATGCTTCTGCAAATAAGTCAGGTACCAGCAACTTTGCATCTCTAATCTGGCCAACTAAATTTACAGTTACTGCTGTATTATAGAAAACTTACTGATAAGAAATGCTGTTTTCCTTACAAASTACAGTAAGGGTTTAGGCATATCCTGCACACACACACACACACAAAAAAGTTCTTCTGTTCTTTAGAATCAACGGTGTCAACTGAATTATTATCAGAACAAGAATTCTGAACTCCCTTGGAATTCTTAAGTAAATGGTGCTGTAAAGTTTCCACTAAAATAATATTTTGAATAGTCAGCCTATTTTTGATGCGCTCCTGAAAGTGGTTTATAACTTTTTGCACATTTAGATTTTCAATGGACTGCATGTATTGTTGTTCTGGAGGGAGGAGAAGAGGAATTGGGCTTTTGAATTTAAACACTTCAGACCTTTTGAACGAAATAGAGTTTATATTGCGTTACATTAGGCTTTGCAGCAATTATTTTTATGAAATGTCTAGACATATCAATTACTGTTTTGAGATTGGTTTTCTTATCAGTGCTTTGTGAGCAGTTCTTGTTTCCGTGTTTGATCAGTGGAAGACCTAGTTTTTGCGTGTCGTGTTGGTACTGAACTGTTCATAATCATGCAATTGTGGCCTATAACTTCTGGTGCACTAATAATCTTAAGTGCCTGTRTTTTCCTTTTTCTTCCTCACGTTGTTGAAACACTTTCAGACTAGGTATGTACACAAACTGTTCTTCATAGTTTTGAACCTTTGGTTGGAGTTGTTCTGAATAACGTAGTTCAAGACAGCTACTTAAAATAGAAAACTTATCCTAGGAGTACCAGCATTCTGGTATTGCATCTGCTAGCTGTGCAATATGTTTCTGGAGAAAAAAAAAGAGTATTTGTTGTTTGTACAGGGTCTCATGGGACATAAGTGATGCAAATGAAAAGAACCTTTACATTTCAAACATTGGATTAGACTGTGTGTACTTGTCATAGTTCTTGAAAAAGTCTGCTTTAGTCAAACCCCAAGAAATATCTCATGCTGCTGCTTATTGTGGTTCARATTGTCCAGCTTTGACGTATGTTTCATTTAAGTTACATATCATACAAGTTCATCTTCTCTCCAGCTTCGAGACTGACTTCTTGAGAGATGTGGATGGCTTTACCCTAAGACCTTGTTGATCCAAGGATAGAGTAGTTGCTGTCCTGTAAGAATGAATTTCTCATAGCATTCTATATAATTTCAAATTCTTAAATTATATCAGCACCTTCATTTTTTATCCATAAGCTAACCGCTGTCAGAAGGCAGTGCTGTAAGTTACCATTTTTGTTTGACTCCTTAGCTATGTGTGAAAACTYGTCCAGAATTGGAAGTTACTGTAAATGTCTAAACTAGCATTGTAAGTTTTAACTTGTGTTAAAAAGATGACAATAGCTCTTTAAAGGCTTATTTTTTCACAAGTACATTCTGTGTGGAAGACACTTTGCATTGTAATATTTTTACAGTAGTCTAACTTTTGAAATCACTTGCTCTGGTACAGCTTTCACACTGCATGTTCATTTTATTGCATTTTGGTATTGGCAATTTTACACATTGGGTGGAGGTGAAGCAGCTCCATAAACTCCTTAAAAGAGGAAAACGAAAAGAGAAAAAAAAAAACCTACTTTTGTAGTTCAGTAGCATAGGGATATATTTGTGGTTGGTAATTGTCAGGGTCTCCTATTTATCAGTACTTTTTTAAATCTATGAAAATTGTTAAATTATTTTAGAATAAGTGCTGTAAATATATCACATTTAAATTGTCAATAAATCAGTTTGGGTAACTTAAACTAACAGCTGACTCTTTCTTTCTACGGTCTTAAATATTTTATCAGAAGAGTTTTCCTTTTTWGCGTACCGAGTTGAAAATGTCTTTACTGCAGCTTTACATGTCTCTTTAATCCCTTCAGGTGGATCCTGTTGTGCTGCCTGAGTAAGAAATTGAATAGAGTGGGCTGGGGTTGTTTGTTTGTTTGCTTTCCTACTGTTACTCTTCCGTTTCTTCTATGAAATTTGTGTATGTTATGCAAGGGAAATGATAAACTCCATCTCCCATCAGTTTTCTTTTTAATTGATGGAAGGGAAAGGRTGGTGCATAATCATTTTAAGTTAATCCTTTGGAAGTTAATCATTTGGAAGTTTTCTCAGGTGCTGAGAGGGGAAAAGTAGAGGACAGAAACATGCATTTTCTGAGTTGATACAGATGCATAACAGACGTTCTCTTGAAAATGCTTTCCTGAGATAACTGCACCTGTATGCAATCTGGAGGTACCTCACTGCCTGCACAGTAGATATCATCCTACTTGAGTGGCTGCGTTTCTCGGGKGCATTTTGTCCTGTTGTAAAGGGGTGCAGGCAATCAGGGTGTCTCAGCAGTATGCAAGCTTCAAATGAAATGTTCTAATTAACTATTCACARTCTCTGTAAAGAGTATTATCCAGCTTACAGTTTGACTGTGAACTCTTKCTAGGTAYGTACACATCTGCCCTTGGAGGAGTATTGAAATTTTGCTCTGCCACTTGCTGCTCCTGAGGAGTTGCTGCACCGCAGGCAACAGCTGGTGTGRCATTAGCAGGTAATTGGCTCTTTGAGACTCTTTAAACTAGAGGTACTCGGTTCAATTGTAACGTCACTAAGATCCAAAATCAGCTCAATAACTAAAACATGGAGCTGATGTCTCAGCAAGTTCCTGATGTGGACTTAGTGCTCCAGGTAAGCAGTACAGTTTATTCTTCCTGGTAATAAAAGTCCCAGTCAAATACAGTTAGTATCCACAGCTCAATTTACCTAAAGCTGAAAATATCCATTCTAGTTGACTTATCTTAATGCCTGTGTCTCTGCTGTTTAGCTTTCAGCTTTTTTTACTCCTCTAATTCTTAAATTTTTTTTCCACAACTTGGACCTAAACTGTAGTCATGAGAATTACATGGCTGCCYTGTTTTACTGTGTGTTATCTTGCCTCTTCTCATTTACTATATATTTGCTCTAGTCCCTTTACTGAAGAGAGGATCGAATTATTCTTTATGGTGTTTTGCAGTACTGTAAATTTCTCATTATAACAGTGGGTTTAAATCCAACTGCTACCTCTGCTGTTCGACCACCTGCAGGTAGCTGCCAAACACAGTGGTGTGGATATAGCGAGAGCCATAGGCGTATCAGCCACACGGAACAGAAGGCTGTCAGCACCATCTAGAGGTTATAATAGAGCTTAAAAAAAGGGGGGGACTTGGGTGAATATCTTCAAGTGTATCTGAAGGTGTGTGGGACAGAAATTGCTGTTCTTAAGCAGACTGCATATTATTTACTTGAGATAGAAGAGAGTAAAAATTGAATTTAAATTGAACTAAAAGTAAAAAATGAATTAAATCTGTTTGAAACCGTGCTATGTGTAGCTTTACCATTGTATCTGTTATGTTTAATGTTTTAATACTCATCTCTGTTTTGGAGCACATATATAACTCTTTGAGGCTCCGAGCCCTTAAGCTGCTGATGCATGTGCTACCTTTGACAGGTCCCGCTGAAGAGGCGAAGGCTGCTCCTRAAATGCTCAGTGTGAACCCTGCTGCTCAGCTGGATCCTGTCACACGTTTGACTGGGTTTCTGCAGCTTTTTTGGAGGGGAAAAATGTTTCTTATTGTAAAGGCACTAAGTCGTGTATACTAGTAGTAACATAATATTGGTTTTGAAAGTGCTAGCTTTGGCTTTTTAATTGGGAGTTTGCATTTAAAGCTTCTGCGAGCGCTGTCATTTTGCCTATCTATGCGTGCAGTGAGCACATCTTGGAAGAATTTAAACCACTCGGTTGCTCCACATTCCTAACCATGATCTCCTAGTGGCAACTGAGTACATTATAGAACAGACACTGCTTAGGTTTGTTACAGGTGTGAGTGTAACCTGCATGTTGTCATACAATGCATAGAGCATCCTGTGTAGTCAATACATTAGATTTTACTTCATATTTTCATGAATCTTCAATTTTTATTCTATAATCTTCAATATAATGCTTGCAGTTTTTATTATAGTAGTGCCCTTTGACAATAACAAACAAACAAAAAAGTGTGTACTGATATATTTAATCTGTAATTAATTAGCACTTTTCTTGGAGCAGGACGCTTGGCTTTCTATAAGACGTTATAAAACAAAACCATGGCTGTATGTATATTTTGTAAATTATGGCAAGGTTATGCTTGTCAAACAGCAGTGGCTGAATTCATCTCTGGAAAGGAGTGTGCAGTTTCTCTGCTAGTAGCTTTTCTCTTCCAAGGTAATGGCTTTTTTTTTTTTTTGCATGTGATAATGAACCTAGCACATGTCTGTGGATTTTTTGTAAGCGTATATGACTTGAGATACAAGGCACTTCTGCACAGATAGGCCCTTAGCACATATATGTTTTTCAGCAGAYGAAGATGTTAAATCTAAGAAATTTAATTATTCTGGAAAGTGAGATGTTCACTTTGTTTAATACAAAAAAAATAAATTTTTTGAATGCTGAAAAGATTCACATCCTTACATGGTAAAGATACAGCAGAGTCAGCACATCTTGGAAATGCTATCCCAAGTATTTGAAAGTGGGATGCTGCTGATTGTGATTTTTAGATAAGACTTTGGGTTATGTTTTTGGCTTGTGGCTCASTGTTTATCCTCAATCTCCATTGAAAATGAAAAAAAATCTTGTAGTCAATATAGAAAAAAAGTGTTATGTAGGTACTTAGTCCGTAAAGGAGACCGATGGTTCTGAGAGATTG